TGAGACTTTATGGCAGTTCGGGGTTTGTACTTGATATCGTACCCGCTGATCTCTACAGCCATTTGGCCAACCAGCCCGAGAGCTCGGGCTTATGCATGACATTCCTCAGCGGGTAATAGGTCACGACACATATTGGGTGCATTGAAAGTACGATTTTAGTTTCCTAGAAGCGCTTAGTAAGGTGAGCGCTAACTTTTCTAGGTGAGGATACCTTGTTTCGGCATCGCCTAGCGTTCTACTAACATAATAAATAGGAAATTGTGTTCCTTCTTCCTCCCGGACTTGGACACCACTTACCTCCATCTCGGAAACCACCAAGCAAAGGTACATCTGTTCGTCTACCTTCGGAGTATGTAGCAAAGGGGGGCTCGACAGGTACCGCTTGAGTTCTTCCAAAGCTTCCTAGCATTCCGGGGTCCAAGAAAATTTGTTCTTCTTTTTCAATAGTGAGAAGAACCGATGTCTCTTATCTGGGGATCTCGAGATAAACAGGCCCAATGCGGCTATCCGCTCATTCAGTCTTTGAACTACCTTGACATTATCGAATATGGTGATGTCCTCTATGGCCTTTATTTTGTCAGGGTTGATCTCTATCCCTCGATTAGATACCATGAACCCAAGAAATTTGCCCGAACCGACCCCAAATGCACACTTCTACTGGTTTAGCTTCATGTTGTAGTTCCTTAATATGTCGAAGGTTTCTTGCAAATATTTCAAATGGTCCTGTGTTTGCAAGGACTTGACCAACATATCGTCAATATAAACTCCCCCAATGATCATGTTGATCACGTGCTGAGACTCCTCTTGTTCGACCTGTTTGTTCGTGTCCCTGTTTCTGAAGTTGTTTTTGGCTCACTCACTTAGGAATTCTCGGAGGTGCCCATTGTTAAACAATAGATCAACTTCTTCTCTTAGTTGTCGGCAATCTTCGGTCCTATGACCGTGAGTGCCTTGATACTTAAACATTAAATTAGGATCTCTCTGGGCAGGGTCGGATTGTGATGGTCGGGGCCACTTGGTCTCTTTGATCCGCCCTATAGCCGACACGATGCTTGCAGCATCCACGTTAAAATTGTATTCTGATAATCTTGGTGCTTCCCTACTCCCGAGCGACCTGTCAAAACCGCTCTTTCTCATCAAGCCCCGGTCGCCATGCCCTCAATCACTTCTCTTCTCATTCCTAGTTAGGTGACGCCCGGATCAATTTCCCCTCCAATCCGTTGTATGGCTGATACCGATCTCGAACCGGCCTTGGCTCCTGATCAATGGCTCTCTTAGATCTATCATCGATTCGGATAGGGTAAACAGATTTGGAAGGAGCCCCGAGCTGATCGTCTTCGACCCTGATCTTCGATTGGTATCTGTTGTGGACGTCGGCCCAGGTCACCGCTGGGTACTCCACCAAATTTTGTTTCAGCTATTGAGAGGCCACAGAACTTCGGGGGTTGATCCCTTGAGTGAATGCCTTACCGGACCAATCATCCGCAACCGACAGCAGATCCATCTGTTCTATCTGGAATCTTGATATGAACTCCTTGAGCATCTCATTATCTCTTTGTTTGAACTTGAAAAGGTCTGAATTCTTGGTTTCGACCTTGATGACCCCGGCATGGGCCTTTACGAAGCCATCTGCAAGCATAACAATCAAGTCAATAGAATTGGGAGACAAGTTGTGATACCATATCATTTCCCCCTTGGACAAAGTTTTCCCAAACTTTTTCAGCAGCAGCGACTCGATTTCGTGATCTTCCAAATCATTCCCCTTGATTGCGCATGTATAGGAGGTCACGTACTTATTTGGATCTGTGGTCCTATTATACTTGGGAATATCGGGCATTCGAAACCTTTTCGAGATCGGCTTTGGTGCGCCTCTCGAGGGGGGGGGGAGGGCTTTTGGATAAAATTTTTGGAATCCGTCCCTTCAATATAGGAGGTTCCCCCGGAATCTGGTTGACCCTGGAGTTGTATGTTTCCACCTTCTTGTCGTTGGCCTAAATCTTTTTCTCTCATGACTCCACACGTTTTGTTAATGGTTCGAGCATCTTCATTACTTCTGAAATTTCTCCGGGCTCGGCTTCATCTGGCCTCACGACAACTTGTTCGTTTCTCTAAGTGTTTTTCCGGGATTGTTCGGGCTCGACCTTGTTAGGGACGTGGCTTTGGTTCCGCAGTTGTGCTATTGCCGCATGTTGAGCCTGCAACACTTTGAAAATCAATCGTAGGCTCACCCCATCACCTTCATCCTCGGGTGCTTCTTGGGCCGTTTATCGGGGTCCCCTACAAACATTATTTTCGGTATCAGTGGCAAATTGATTTTGATGTCCATCTACGAGTTAGCATTGACCGAGTCGGTGACTGGGATACCATAGGGGTCGGCAGGAAGCAAATCATTATTGGGCACCACATTGTTATTCTCGCCAAACTATTTACCCAAAAAATGAGTAACAAATAAATTTGTACGCAGTTTAAAGGATACGTGGTTTCTTTCAACACAAATAGTTAAAAATGACAGATAGATGAGTTAAAGGAAAAATAAATGATCAAATCAATCGCAATGTAATGACTAGGCCTGATCTTAGATTGAACAGTAGGGCTCGTCCTCGATCGGACCCTCGGTACTAGCTCGGTCGCGCACGCAGAAAAGAACAAGTGTGTAATGGCTTGAACAATATCTAGAGGACAAAAGTAGACTTTTATTACTTTGAAATGCATTTTATATAGTAGGAGAATTTCAATCCTAATACAAGTCTAAAAAGGGTAAAAATCTTATTTTTCCGGTAATTATTGATCTATATATAATGACACCGAACGAGATTCGCGCCGTGAAATCTCGTTGAGGGCGAATATTACGGCCCCCTATCCGTCATGCATAATCGTTCACCGTGTCTCCCGAGCTACAGAAACCATACTTGGTCTGGGGTACGTCGCCTTACCGTGTCTGATCTTCAATATATCGTTCAATCTTTCCGGGTCTCGATACGAGGGGTTCCCAACCTCGATTATAATCACGTCAATCCGTGCTTCCCCTTCGTTCTTTCACCGGGGAATCGGTGGAAACCTTGCCCCCGATTTTACCCGTACATACATGCACAACATGTTTACTTCATTTACAAATTTATCACTTAGTTCTCATAGTTAAGTGGTATGTATTCTCGCGGTACTTTTTAACTCCTAAAGTTAAATTGCAAGCTTATTAGAGTACCAGAGATATTGTGAATGCTTTTGGCTAGAAATAAGTTAATTCCTTCAATAGAGTAACAATCAGTTTTAAACTTGGAGTTCACGGGAAATAAAAGTTACATACAACTAAAGCTAATTAACTGAGAAAAAAACTTGAAAGAAAAGGACAATACTTTTAATTATGGCATGAAAGTAGCCACTTAATTGATGCATAAATTAAAACTATGGTGCACCTATAATTGGTAGATGTTCAACCTAATTTCCATGCATTAATTTATATGTGCTAGTAATTTTGGATGCCATGTTACGTGACAGCTAACCACCTTTTTTGAACGTCCAACTGAAAATGATGTATCATTAATGGTGTCTTAAGATCAGTCACTTGCTTCCTTTTACTTCACATGGTTCATTAACATTTCTTGTACAAAAATGAATCTCAAGTCCTTTCTGATGATAGCATAACAAAAAGCCCTTATCATTAATATTTTCGCTCAAGGCAATTGTGGCCATTAGAATGGACTTTGTTTTTTTCCTTTTTCAAATATTCATACTGGTTATATATTTTACTTAGATATAAATTTTGTATACTTGTTTGATGTGTTTGTGGTGATTGTTTTATCCTTTTGATAGCTACGCTCTTGCATTAGCACGTAGTTATATATTGTTCAATGTATATTAAGATATTACGTAATATTGGTTGATACAAGACAAGCGATATGTAAGTAGATCCTTGGTAAATTTCATATTGGCATAACATGGAGAAATACTATATATAAGAAATCACTATCCTTCCCAGACCCCGCTTGTGAAATTGCACTGGATGGTTATTGTTGTTGTCGTCTATTTATTGAGAAATTCTTATATGTCAGTATGTGATTGGTTTTTATGTCAGGCTTGCTAATACATTGTCATGTGGTACAATTGTAGAGGTGCACTTCCTACCATAGGAGAAGAACATTGAGTTGGTGAGACTCCAGCAATAGGAGCCAACTAAAGAAGGCTAACAAAGTAGACATTTCGTTATAGAAAAACTCATCACTAGATGAAAGCTTCGGTGAATCAGTGAATGGTTTTAATTTTTAAAAAAGCAGCGCAAGTTACATATTTAGCCGATCGGCAAAAGTAATTGCCCGCTAGCTAAATATATTTACAAAAAATACATTTATTATGCATTATATATATATATATATATATATATATATATATATATATATATATATATATATATATATATATATATATATATATATATATATAGTATAGTCCTCCCAAAAAAAAATAGGCACTGTTAGCTTGTTCTGGGGCATACCATCTTTATTGGTTTATAAAGGTGGTTCGCATAATTTAAAGGCTGGAAAAATACTTGACATGCATAATTGGACCAATGAACAAAATGCTTCTAGGTCTATAAAACTATTTATATTAAATGCCCAACAACAAAAGGAAACATTAAAATAACAATGGTCCCTCCACACTTATAAATTCTCTTGAAATAGCAGTTCTTTTCAATTGTTGTCTTTACTGGCAAATACCTACTTAACTTACTAAAACTCGTGCTTCTTCATAAAGAGTAACACTCACGTGACCCCCAATTCTTTTGTTAATTCCTTCTGAAATAACAGGGACATATATAGCTAGCATAGAAAGTTAGTGTTCAATAGAATCCAGTAATATTAGTCCAAATTTTGTATATATATTTGTTGAAAAACCTATTGAATATATACATATTATAAACTTCAAATCACAAATTCGTTTGCTGCGCTATAAGCCATACTAGAACTTGCGATTTAACTATAGAAAGTAAAAAGTAACCAGAGGTGTCGATTTAATAAGGCATTTATCTTATTCTTTTCTCTACATTCCATTATTGACAAATCAACTCAAAAACAAATGCCGATAAATAGAAATAAGCTTCACAAGATTAGGATATAAAGATGAAATATTTGAAAAGAAATACACGTGAATTTTTTTTTATCTTATTTTTGAACTTATAATCTTAATGAATTACGCCACTTACATTCTTGGCTTGACCTTAGCTCTTAAAGGATTTTTCATCACCACAGTAAATACCAACTTCTCGCTAAAATCCACTTTACTATTTTCCGGGTAAGCGGACCATTCAAATTCTTGAACCATTCGGGCCAACATCAAATTCACATGCACCGTTCCCAGACCCAAACCCGGGCAAATTCTCCGCCCGACACCAAATGGCATCATCTTCACTCTTGTCACGCCTGTTATATCAGCGTCCTCCCGCCCGGATAGAAACCTATCCGGGTCGAACTTCTCGGGATTCGACCAGATATTCGGGTCATGCGAAATCCCATGTGAGAAAAACTCCACATTAGCATCCGTGGGTATGTCATACCCACCCAATTTTGTTGGCTCCGTTACTGCATGGCTCAATACAAAGTACGTAGGAGGATGTTTACGTAACACCTCCTTTACGACGGCGTTTAAGTAAGGCATCTTTTCCATGTCCTTCTCATCAACCTTTCTATCACCTACTATGTTTCTAATCTCTTCGTACATTCTCTTTTGTATGCTTGGGTTTTCGATCAGTCTCCCTATGGCCCACTCTAATGCCGTTGCAGTTGTGTCGGTCCCACCGTTCAAGAATTCTGAACATAGGGTTACAAGTTCCGGATTTGTCGGTCCAGATTTTCTACCTGTTGAAAATATAATCAAGTAAATACTTAAACATATATTTTCTCTTACAACTTAAATTTTTAAATGAGACAGAAATATAATTCAACATTATACCTTCAATTTTCACATCGAACAAAGTGTCTAGGTACGAAAATGAGGCTGCAGTCTTGTCGGACCCAGGATTTTGTATAGCTCTACGGCGTTTCTCGATCAAAGGGACAAGTGTTTCAATTTGTTGCTTGCGAACTTCTTGAACTCTCTTACGTTGTTTATACCCAACAAATAAGCTCAATATAGGAAGATAATCATCTATTCTTGGAAGAAGCTCAATTAACACATCCTTCATCATTTGATCAACGGTTTCAATCATTTTCTCATCCATTTCAATACCAAAACACATAGCCAAAAGTATATAAAACACTGCGAAACGCACGTTTTTCAGCACCCAAACGACGTCGTTATCGGCCTTAGCATCTGCATGAATCCTTTCAATCAACTTATCCATTGCCATTTCTCTACAATCACGAAACTCTTTCACTCTACTCGAACTTAGCATATTTTGGACCATATTTCTTCTAAGGGATCGCCAAAGTGGCCCGTAAATTGCTGCGTTGACACTGAACTTGTTGCAACTGAAAATGGTTCGGGTCGGGTTCTCACTTGGACGGGTAGCAAATATCGGACCCTTTTCGATTAAAGCTTCGTAAGCCAAGTCAGCACTGCTAACAATAATCATAGTACGAGCACCCATTTTGAGTGTGAAAATGGAGCCATATTTTGGTTTGAGTTCTCTAATGTATTCGAAAAATTGCTTACCAGAACCAGCTACTTGAAAAAGGTTACCGACTACCGGCCAACCCGGTGGTCCTGGAGGAAGATTGAGGTTTCTAGATTTGTTTTTGCGTGTGAAGAAGAAGATGAGGCTAGAGAGAAGAAATGCTAAAGCTGTGAATAAGAGGTCCATTGTTGTGAAAGTTAGTGATGTATACTATTGAGATGGAAGTAATGAGTGGAACTAGCTAGTGAGGAAAAAGGAGTATAAGAATGGAAAAGAGCTTGAAATTACAGTTAGGAAATAATAAATGCTGTTAAAGTAAAGAAAAGAGGAGAAAACTGTACATGTTAATTGAAAGTATATAACTTTATATGCATAATTGCAAACAAGGTAAAGGAAAGACGGGTGTTCTTTATACTGATAGTACTAGTATGAAGAAAAATATAGTAATACTGCTACAGAAGTACTACAAAGAAAGGGAAATGACAGTCTGGGGCACGAATCACCCATATTCACGCAGGGTTTGGGGAAGAGCAGCAGTATTCCAAGCGGTGTGACATAGACAGTCTATCTTGATACAAGCATTAATGGCTAATTCCACGGCTCGAACCTGTGACCTGTAAGTCACATGGAGACAAAGTATCCCGCGTTCATGCAGAGTCTGAGGAATGACAGTACCCCAAGGGGTGAGACGTATAGCCTACCCTAATACAAGCATTAGTGATCGCTTTTACGGTTCGAATCCGTAACCTATAAGTCACATGAAGACTGTTTACCGTGAAAATGGTAACGACAATTAAATTTATTAAATGGGGCTCTAAAAATACGTGATCTATTCCCAAGCTAGTTCGTTAGAGCAGATGATGCTAGTATTATGAATTTTAACGATGGGGGGAGGGGGGGAGATAAACGAGGTAACGACCGAACCAGAGGGTCTGCTACCCGTGTGTAAGCTTGGTCGATTGGGACTTCGAGGTCGACCTCGAGGTCGAGCTCGGGTTGTCGGGGACAGTCGGGAGTAGTCTAACAACTAGAGATATAATCAAACGAAGCTAGTTATAACCGAAATTCAGTTTGTACGATGAAGAACACATATAAAAATGAAGAACATATAGAGGCAAAGGATATCGAGATGTCCTCAGTATCAGTAAAAGCAAATGAGTTTCAGTAAGAAGAGAGAGAGATATTATTGCACTTGTAGAATTGTGGGAGCAACATCAGTCCCTTACAAGGTAGGGCGAGTCCCCTTTATATAGGAGAGGAAACTTAGTAACGAATACATGTATATCTAATTTATGAAATATGGAGATGTGATGGCTTGACTCGACACCCCAGCATAGGCTAGGGATAGGCCAGTCCTGTCAGACACAACCGCGTGTCTTGGGGGCTTCCCCCTTTTGTCTTTATCTCGACCTTGAATCGGACCTCGACAAGCCTCGAAGGAGTGGACTAAGTTGTGGCTTCATATCATCGGGGTCTTGAGATATCTTCCCGATGTGGCTTCATGTTCTCGGGGTCACGAGGTACCTCCCCGAGATGGCTTGATAGCGGGAAATCGGGCCCTCTGATTTCACCACGTACAGATAGTCTCCTTGTTTCTCAGAACGAAGCGATGGGAAACGGTTATGATCATTGACTCCTCGAGCTCCTCATGGCGATAGTGCATTGGCGATCCGCGTCGTGGCGCAATCTTTCGTGATAGATGGCATATCTCATAGACTCCTGCTCAATACTCTGCCACTTCCGTTCTTCAAGGTAAAAAGTGCTGCCGTCGATTTGGTTTTTCAAGGATGCAATAATTGCATTCGTCGGTTAGTTTGAGCCTCGACGACCGTGTTGCTGCCCCCTATAAATGGGGTGCCCAGGCGTTATTTTTCCCATCCCAGTATCTTTATCGGCATGCTTTGCCTATTCCTTCTTGTCATCTTCTTCTACCTTTGAACATCATACTTGGGGCTTATAGCCTTAAGACCGTTAGGAGGAGTTCCCTTAGGTTGTGCCATGGACCTTCATCGGGACGTCCCTTTTTTGAGCATAATCACGTTGTCCCGCTATGGTCGTTGGTATGTTGGTGTTTGTTGTTGCCACTGGCCCAAGGTGGCGATGGACGGGGAATCGGTCTTCCTCATATGTAGATAATCGTTCGGATTATAAACCGCTGCTCAGAAGGGGGCTCGGATTATACACCGTTGCTCACCTCCGTACCCCGGCTCGATGTGGAATTATGCCCCGAGCCGGGAGATTGCACGGCTCGATGCTCGAAGAAGTGTATTTGAAGTAGCCGTGCAAGCGGGACCGAGGGTTGTTCGGTCCGCTGTCTCTCCGAGGCTCCCTTTGCCAAAGAGGCTCCTCGAGCTTCGGAGAGCTATTGCATTTTTTCATCCCTTCCTGCTCCTTCCACCTTCTTTTTCGTCTTCTTCTTTGAAGTGCTACTTTGAGGGACTGGGGCGAGGTTGTTGAAGGCGTGCATTCAAGGACACAATGCTTGAAGATTCTTTCACCGGCGGTATGCCTTCGAGGGTAGAATAGGTTTTAGGCCTTTTCTTCGTGTACTCCCCTTTTGCTTCTGCGTGGGGACCCTTTGTAAGCTTTTGTAAACTGTTTACCGTGAAAATGGTAACGACAATTAAATTTATTAAATGGGACTCTAAAAATACGTGATCTATTCCCAAGCTAGTTTGTTAGAGCAGATGATGCTAGTATTATGAATTTTAATGATGGGGGGGGGGGGGGAGATAAATGAGGTAACGACCGAACTAGAGGGTCTGCTACCCGGGCGTAAGCTTGGTCGATTGGGACTTCGAGGTCGACCTCGAGGTCGAGCTCGGGTTGTCGGGGACACTCGGGAGTAGTCTAACAACTAGAGATATAATCAAACGAAGCTAGTTATAACCGAAATTGAGTTTGTACGATGAAGAACACATATAAAAATGAAGAACACATATAGAGGCAAAGGATATCGAGATATCCTCAGTATCAGTCAAAGCAAATGAGTTTCAGTAAGAAGAGAGAGAGAGATATTATTGCACTTGTGGAATTGTGGGAGCAACATCCGTCCCTTACAAGGTAGGGCGAGTCCCCTTTATATAGGAGAGGAACCTTAGTAACGAATCTATGTATATCTAATTTATGAAATATGGAGATGTGATGGCTTGACTCGACACCCCAGCATAGGCTAGGGATAGCCGGTCATGTCAGACTCAACCGTGTGTCTTCAGGGCTTCCCCTTTTGTCTTTATCTCGACCTTGAATCGGACCTCGACAAACCTCGAAGGAGTGGACTAAGTTGTGGCTTCATATCATCGGGGTCTTGAGATATCTTCCCGAGGCTGCTTCATGTTCTCCGGGTCACGAGGTACCTCCCCGAGATGGCTTGATGGCAGGAAATCTGGCCCTCTGATTTCACCACGTACAAATAGTCTCCGCGTTTCTCAAAACGAAGCGATGGGAAACGGTTATGACCATTGACTCCTCGAGCTCCTCATGGCGATAGTGCATTGGCGATCCGCGTCGTGGCGTAATCTTTCGTGATATATGGCATATCTCATAGACTCCTGCTCAATACTCTGCCACTTCCGTTTTTTAAGGTAAAAAAATGATGCCGTCTATTTGGTTTTTCAAGGATGCAATATTGCATTCGTCGGTCAGTTTTCTAGAGCCTCGACGACCGTGTTGTTGCCCCCTATAAATGGGGTGCCTTGGCATTGTTTTTCCTATCCTAGTATCTTCATCGGCATGCTTTGCCTATTCCTTCTTGTCATCTTCTTCTACCTTAGAACATCATGCTTGGGGCTTATAGCCTCAAGACCATTAGGAGGATTTCCCTTAAGTTGTGACATGGCCCTTCGTTGGGACGTCCCTTTGTTGAGCATAATTGTGTTGTCCCGCTATGGTCGTTGGTATGCTGGTGTTTGCTGCTGCCGTTGGCCCGAGGTGACGATGGATGGGGAATCGGTCTCCCCCTTATGTAGACAGTCGTTCGGATTATGCACCGCTGCTCACTCTCCTACCCGGGCCTGGTGTGGCACCTCATCCTTAGGGCTCTTTCTTTCCCGAGGGATAAGGTGGCCCTCTCGGTCGTTGAGGTTGAGGCCCGCCGAATCTCCAACTTTTGGTTTTGGCGGGCTATGTCTCTTTTCTCTGCCTCCTCTGTGTCTCCTCCTTTTCATCTTCTCCATCTCCTCCGGCGGGAATCCCTTGAGGGATTGAGCTGGGAACCTAGAGGAGGTGGAGGTCGAAGGGATCACCCTCGAGGGTGTGATGCTCGAGGATGCTGATACCGGAGATGCACCCTCGAGGGCAGACTAGGCTTCCGGGTTTCATCACTTGTACATCCTTCCGTTCCTTCGCTGTAGGGGTAGACTCCTATAGGCCTTAACAATTATATGTAATGACCCTTCGAGGGCTTTTGTAAACGTATGCCATGACCCCTCGGGGGCTGTTGTACACGGAATTTTACGAACATGAATATATTCCTTTGGTTTTTGCCTTCGATTTTTGCCTTTGAATTTTGCCTAGTAACTGCACGTGTTCATACCCCTCGAGGCCCTTTTGAACGCCCTTTTTACTTCTCGACTGCTGATACTTGGCCGGGGTGCGAGCATTCTCTCAGCTCCTCTACTAATCGACACGGCTCCCTTTCGAGGCCATCGTTGTTCCTCGGGCAACCCTGGGTTGATTGGTTAGATCCGGGCTGCCTAGGCCTTCTGAATCACATGGAGATAATGCGTTTGATCTTTGGGGCCTTTGAGGATGTTATCCTGGATGGAGGCCGGCTATGGGTACCCCGGGGTCCCTTTTGATTTCCGATGTGGATAACTTCCTTTAGATATGTAGGAGATAGGTTTTGCTGAGCGGTTACCTACGCTCAGGCACCGCTCCGAACTTTTACGGAGCTTTCGCGATTGAAGCTCCTTGTATTGAGTGATGGCATTGAAAGCTTCACAAATTCTGGTTTCTCTTCGGTGGGGATCCTCGAGGCGGGATGTCATCCAGAGCTCGGGGATAATGCGGGCGGTTCCTTGAGTCTTGGGTTCTTGTCGGAGGATACTTTCGGGTTCGGATATCATCCCATTGGACTATATCGACGTCGTGTACACCTCGGGGCTGACTCCGGGCAGGGGAAACGTTGCCGTTTCTTATCATATAAGTAGGGCGGCTTCGGCTTCTTTGCAGGGCTTCACTATTTTGAGGTAGCTGTTCTCCTGCTTTGACATAGGGTTCCTTTTTTCCCTAGGTGCAAGAAGTGTTTGTGCGCGTCCTTGCTTTGCTCTAATTTGTATTACCATAGTC